AGGGGTGGCAAATGAGCTTCTCTTTTCACAGGAATGGTAAAAGGTACAAAGACCAGTTTATTGACCATTTCCATGCATCCTGGTTCCTGAATTTTTTTATTTTTTTTTTATAAAAAGCCTGCCAGTTTGCTTATCTGTCTGTTTTGTTGCAATGGGAGAAGTTCCTTTCTGTCTTTTTGTAAAAAAGAAACATGGACAAGACAAATACTGTCCCTAGCATTTTTTCCTGGAAACTGTAGAATCACCGTGGCTAAAATTAAGGGGGAAAAAAAAATGAACTGGTAATAGTCAATACAGAAGGTGGAAACTGTAGCCTGCTTTGAAAAAAATCCAACAGTATTAGAAGCAAGGGAAAAGACAGGGTCTTAAGAAGATCAGCACTTTTCACTGTACATGTTACTAACCTTTGGCAAGGTAACAGATATCTACAGTGAGAAAATCAGAAACGATCACCTCAAAAGAGTAAACACTTGGATCCTCACTGCAGTTCTTTTCATATATATATGCGGCTGGGTACAAGATTTTTCATGCTCATTCCAGAAAACAATACTTTTTCTTTCTTGGTAAGTTTTTTCCACAACATTAATGGCATTTTCCAGTCCACTAATAATGCATGTATGAATCACTGTACTTTTTTTTTTTATAGCAGTCATCTGTGCAGAATTGAATCACAGGTGAAGAAGGAAGCCAGAATTCTTGCTCTTCTCTACTTACTACAATTATTCCTGATTTTAAAGGCAGTAAGCAAATAAAAAGGAGATAAAATTTCCTGTCCAACAGACAGAATTGTACTGGAACTCAAGCCTGATATATTTCTTCTTGTGCTGGGGAGTGAAACTCATTCGAAGTAACTGGTATCAAATAATCCAACTGTACTGTATCACTGAAGCTTAGAAATAACTTTTGGTGGAAAGAACAGTAATGATTGGTAAAACAGCTATCTACGCAATCAAGCAACCATGATATCTTTAAACTTACAACACAGATCCCACTCTGTACATCAAATGCTGGAAACAACATGCTCTGCTACCTTAAAAGAGATCTAACATTGATGAAAGATACTCTTAATTTTAAAAAATTAAGAGAAATCTTGTCTCATGCCTTTACCCTTTCCAACTCCCCACACTGGCATAAATGGCAACTTTCCTAATTCTTAAGTGGTACAGCTACAATGTGCTATCACACCTCACCTTATGTATAGCAATAAATTTTATACGTGGCAACAAAGACTGCATGAGCATACCTGAGAAAAAGTGAACTGGGCTAACTTGGCATTGCGGCTGACACGCATGCATAAAAGCCAGTTCTTGTAGCGTCAATGACTGCAAGCTATCATTTTGCTCTAGTTCCACTGCCCTCATCCCACTGGGTATTTGTGTAAAGAGAAAGGTGGAAGTACAGGAATTCATTTGTGAAGCTCATTAGCAGCATGCACAGCACAGCGCTGGCTGTCACCCTTACTAGCACTCTGTCTAGGTTGAACTCTCACACTGTCACCTCAACATCTTTATCCCTGCAAGGAAATATATTCATTTTGTCTCTATAGGCAGATGTAGATGTTTCCCTACGGGTACTGACTGGATTTGGAAAACAATAGCAAAGCTTTCTATGATTTTTACAATAGCTTATGCCAATATAACAGAATTTTACAAGCACAATACTAGTTTTGATTTTCAGAGTATTATTTATTACTGTTTCAGTTGTACAATTTCAACAGTAGGGAACAATACATAATGTACAGTACATAGCTTGCGTTGTTCCCAGGTTTTAAAGTCACATGTCAAGGTTCAGGCTGCAGAATAGAGTTCACCATTCCTAAAACGAAAGCAGGCACATACAGTACTATCTTGCCGCAGTATTAGCACGATCTTGTTTGGCAAATAGAACATTAGGAGCACCACCTGCCATTAGGATACTGCATGTACCAAACAATTACTGACAATGGATCCTTAATGTTCTGCCCCTGTAGCATTTGTTCCCATCAAAGTGACATCACTAGAAAAACAGTATTAAACAGTTCACTCCTTGGTTTTAAAAGTTACTGAAAGA